CTGGACCTGAGAAACTGGGTAACATGTGGAAAAGAAGAGCTTAGGGTAACAAATTTCGAAAAACTTGTTGATAGGAGCACCAACCTGTGCCTTTTTATTCATTTATTTGACTCCTGTCAATTGATATTACCCAGAGGTTAAAAAAAGAAAAAAAAAAAAAAAAGAAAACGCCACAGTTGTAAAATATAAAAACATCATTTCCCATCATTCTCTTTTAGTTTCTACGAGCAACTTTCAGTTTTACGCTATGTAAAATTCTCACCAAAGAAACTCATTATTAACCAGTGGAAATTCTGACCTACTGAAACCCAGCCAATTCCTCTATGCCAGGCAGATGTGTGAGAACAAGCCAAACTCAACGTGCTGCTTTTTATATATTGTGTTTAGGGGGCGAACAGGGTTTCAATTCTGAATAAACTACACACCAAGATAGAGGGCCTCACCCAGTAGATCATAATATGGGTTCTATTTCAGATTTTTATCAGACAGGGCTCCAGGCTGGGCTGCCACAGTCATGACCCACCTACTCCCCAGGCCAACATAGTAGGATGGTTTTTCCCCAGTGGTATACCTCTCCTACTCATTCTCTGCACTACACCCTGAGTGAGTTAAAATGAAATCTATTCATAACTCTCCCCTTCTAAAAATGCTTCGAATCTCTGTACTGCCTTTGGGAAAAGCCGAAACTCTTACAGCACAGGAGCATCTTCAGGAAGTGACTCCCTGTACCCACCTACATCATACCTCCCCTTGCCTAACACCTCTCTTCACCCTCTCCACCCCTTGAGCCTTCTGGTCTGACGCCTGCACTTCTAGGAGTTTTGACAATGCTTCATTCTCTCTTTCTCCTTTCTGTCCCTTTCTCTTTCTCCTTTTCTCTTCCCTCTGGTGCTTCTGAGCCTTTGTGCACATTGTTTCCTTCCTGATTTTGCTTGAAACCCTCTTCCTTCTACTGTTGGCTGGCTAACCACAGCTTATTTCCTGAGTCTCATCTCAGACTTCTCTTTCCCCTGATAGCCTTTGATTCCTGAGATCCAGATTAACAGAAAAACCCTAGGACAGGTAACATGCTTTTGGGAACTCCAACCCCCAAACTAGCCCTGAGAAATGTATCACATGAAAGATTAATGAAAAGTGGATCTCTAACTTAATTTTGATGTCTCCTCCAACATGGTCTAAATTATTATTTTTTAATGTTTATTTATTTTCAAGGCGGGGTGGGCACAAACGGAGGGAGACACAGAATCCAAAGCAGGCTCTGGGCTCTGAGCTGTCAGCACAGAGCCCTACATGGGGCTCAAACTCACAAACCATGAGATCATGACCTGAGCCAAACTAGGATGTTCAACAAACCCAGGTGCCCCTGATCTAAATTCTTGAAGTCAATGTACAAGCTCTGCCTTAAGCACTTTCCCAAAACAAGTTAACTATGGCTCTCTTAGATAAATTTTCAAATACTTTGCTATCAAACAAACAAAACTCCAGAAATTGTTCTCCTAAAATATCGTAAAAGTGTTCTGCTCAAAATGGCACACTAACTATATTTTAATCAAAGACACAACTCTTGTTTTGAAATGCTTCACTTTAAAGAAATCAGAGAGAGAATGTGGATGAAGATAAGCCACTTGCAGTAGCTCCATCACTTGGTAATGGAAGAAAGCACTGGGTTATTCTGGAGAGATATTTGTTACACAGTCAACAGGTTTGAAGATCACTGAATATGAAATTGCACATAGGGGTGCCTGGGTGGCTCCGTGGGTTAAGCCTCCAACTCTTGGTTTCAACTCAGGTCTTGATCTTCTTATGGTTTTTGAGTTTGAGCTCCGCATCGGTCTCTGCACTGACAGTACAAAGCCTGCTTGGGATTCTCTCTCTTTCTCGCTCTCTGCCCCTCCTCTCTCTCTCTCTCTCCCTCTCTCAAAAATAAATTTAAAAAATTGCACATAAATGGAATTTTGATGTATTTAACTAGGAATGTCCAGCAGCAAACACTGGGTGGGGCATTTTAAGTGCCTTAATACCTCCTGCACTCGCCTTTGGTTATGTAGGTTATAGTAAGTATAAACTGCTATAATCTAAATGGTTAAAATGGTGTGTGCCATCGTTTTTATAACCTGCTGTGGCAAGTGACATTTTGAGGATACAAAGAATTGATCCAATGGGTGTCAACAACAACAGGCAGAAAAAGTAATCTTGCTTCAGAGAGAACATCAGTTCATACTAAACAAATCCCAAGGCCTGTGGCCAATTCTAGGCCTATACAGATCTCACAAAATCTGAAGGTGGTTTAAACTTGAGAGACTATGACTGTGGTGTGGCCTTGGACACGAAGAGTGAGAAGGGGTAGAGCATAAGTCCCACCTGTGGAAAGGTGTATGAAACGAGGCAGGGAAGACTGAAAACTGGGCACAGACTTGAGTAATGAGATAGCTTGACAGCCTCTCCCGCAGAAGTCAGAAAGGCCTGAGCTTCCTGCAGGGAACAGTGTGAGAGCAAAGTGGAACTACAAGAGGCAGATTGCGGCCTCCAGGAGGAGGAAGAATTAGGGGGCTGGCCTCTGCAGGCCCGCATAGGTCAGCCCTTGGGTCCAAGCTGTGACAAAGCTTCCTGAATCACATCTGCCACTGTCTAGGAAGCTCTTAGCACTCTCCCAGAACCTCCTGAGTTCAAGAGTAAAAGGAGAAATAACCCCTGAAAGGACCATACCTACCAAACGATAAAGCTTAGCTCCAAGAACTCTTTCTCTAGGCAATACGGGGTCTCCAAGCCATGCCCCCAGAAAGCAAGCCTAGATGTTGATTTTGGCACACTTCAGTCCAGTTACGACAATGCCAGCGTTGCCGTTCTATGTCCATAGAGTGAAGTATACACGCTTAGAAAGAAAGAACAAAAACCAGGATAGGGATGCCACCTTAAAAAACTTGGTGATGTATACTCCCTGCCTCTAATCTTCTCTGGGGAAAGACAAGAAGGCAGAGAAAAAGGGAGAAGAGAACTCTGCACAGGTTTTGGCCTCCCCAAAGGGAAATGTGCACTTCCTCCACCCCCACTCCCTGCAAAGAACTGGCACAATAGCTTCGTTACAAAGCTCCCCTCTAAAATCCACAATGCCCACCAAGATTACACTAACATCAAAGATTTTCTATAGAAGCTCACCCTTAAAATATGAAGACTAGTGATAAGGGTCATTAGGTAGCCACATGCCTGACATTCTAGTGCAGTATACAGCCCTTTTTAAAGCTCTTTGAAGTTCGTGTGATGGCAATAGGCATCATGGATTTCTAAACTTTAAAAACAAATGATTTTCAGGGAAGCATGGAGAGGTGTGACAATTTGAGTAGTGAAAAGAAGAGAGTCACTCATATACTTTAAACAAGGAAGCCCTGTTGGGCAACCCCTTCTTTAACCAAGTGACACCTGAATAGTGACAAAGCAAACTGTACACCCAGATAGCAAGACTGGGTCAGTCAGCTCTGGTGACAGATGGAGGTCAATGCTGTCACAGCCAGATTAGACCAACTGATTAAGATTTCACCTTCATTTAATAGTAACTTGCTTCACAAGACTCCGTGCAAGGTCTTTCAACAGGTCCAAGCAAAGTTACGCGCAGAGTTTTTGTCATCCAACTCGGTCATGAACTCTGATGTTCTATGACATTCTCTGGTTCATTGTGGTGATTTTAGAAGTGACTGTAAGAGGACTCATCTCTCTCTCTTGCTTGTCAACTATTCATATGGATAACCAATTACATTATATTTCATTGTCAGAATTATTAGCAGCATATGACCCGTTATTTACACTGCTAAGCACAATCCTTATAACAAAACAGCTTTCTGGTAGCTCTTTGCACACAGTATACATTCATGTGTTTGGTAAATGAATAGCAGAACAGATTATGGATATAGAAATACATTTAACCATACTTTAGACATCTAAACAAATTCTCACAATTAGCTTCAAGATATAGTCATCCTGTTTAAAGGAGAATTTATGCAATGGGGCTTTTCTAACAACCATCTTGTAGTTAAGTGGCATAGATAAAACTTACTCGAGTAAGCCATTTTATTTTCCAAATCATATCTGTTGATATTTAAAAACTAAAAATGATCCGATATTTCTACTTACACTGGCAACCTCAAGACTTCAAATTCAGGTCCTATTCCATTCCTACTTCTTTAACTTCTATTGTACTAAAGCGGTAAATCACGTGTGTTGATTAGAGCACTGCTGATATATTGAGAGGTTGGTTGTGGTGCCTGAGGCAGAAATTTGGCAGGGGTCCATGAGATCCCATGTGTTAAACCACAAGGGCGATTTGTGCAATCAGATTCATATGGAGATATTCTGAAATCATGGCATGTTTCATTTTTATTCCATAAGGCTATTGTTTTAAATATTTTAAAGCGAAGGGATTAAGCTGATATTGCATATAGAAGCCAAATGTAGGGGCGTGTGGGTGGCTCAGTTGGTTAAGCGTCTGACTTCAGCTCAGGTCATGATCTCACAGTTCATGGGTTTGAGCCCCACGTCAGGCTCTGTGCTGGTGGCTAGCTCAGAGCCTGGAGCCTGTTTCAGATTCTGTGTCTCCCTCTCTTTCTGACCCTCCCCTGCTCATGCTGTCTCTCTCTCTCTTAGAAATAAATAAAAAACATTTAAAAAATTCTTAAAAGAAGCCAAATGTAGGTTTATACTTCCAAATAATCCTAATTATACGCCCAGTGAAGGAACACACAAGGGACATGGGAATTGTGCTAAGAAAAGACAGAAATCACTAGGTTACTGCCTGCCACCCACACACAGGAAGCCCCACCTTGCTATTTTTACAAGGCATTATGGGAAAACCAAAGAAGAAACAGCATTTTAATACCTCATTGAAACCTTTAAAAGAGGTACAATATTCATGTGTAGGGGGGCCCAACTTCCCTCATTTGACTGGAGGCCAAGGTTCCACAGTGAAAGCAAAGTGGAGAGGTTTTCCCCTTAATTATCTAAGTAATTACCTTAAATGTCTGCTTTGCTTTGGCTGTGGAGACATGGTCACAACCATGAAGACCCTACTGAAACAAGAAGATAGGAAGTTCATAAAATGTTCTTCGTCTCCGTTGCAGAAAGGTACACGAACGTCACCTGAAAATGCAAACTGCGATCTCTTGCGATAAGGTTAGAGAAAGCCTTTTTTGTCAAGTTGCGGTAAGAACTGTTCCCATATTCCCGTGTATCCTATAGTGATAACTGTATCTCCCAGCCATCCTGAGAGATAACTGAGGCAAACACAGACTGAGAAGTGGTAACAGTGTTGGCCGTTGACATTTTAAAACACAAATGTTGGAACTATCTATTTTCTGGGGTCCTTTGGTCTTCTGCTCCTTGCTCAGACCTCTTATCATAACCATGGGAGATATATATATATATATATGGGATATATGGGATATAAACATGGGATATATATATATATATATATATATATATATATATATAGAAGACAGTAATTTTGCCAGGGAAAGAGACATCAGTCTATGTCTCAATTCCGCAAGCAAAACAAACCACATTCGAGAGAATGTCTAATGAAATCCTAAAGAAAATTGTTAAGGAAACAAAGTGCTTATTTTCTGTATGACATTTCTTATTTTAGGGGAAAATCCTGCCATCTTGTTCTAACTTCACTGATGCCTATTCTGCTCATTCATTTTGGCCCTTTGCTCTTTACTCAAGGCCCTGCCATTATATTCACCCTCAGAAAGTAGTGGGGTGACACTCTACCATTTTCTCCTGTTGTAATTTAAAATGTATGTAGAATTCTAATCTCACAATTGCCACATACTCACAAGGAGACACCTAGCTTATCAGAAAAGGGATTTATTGCAAGTTCTTTAATGAGAATTGAAGGACATGTCTCAGATTCTCCGCCTAAGTATCAGAGTTCCAAAGGAAAGTCATTCTTGGGAAACATTTCTTTCTCTACCATGATTAGATACTATTGTGGCTGTAAGGTTTTTTTATCTTGTTTTTTGTTTTTGTTTTAGTCAAAGAGGAAACTCTCATGCTTAGAATATTCCATCCATTTCTTTCCTTGAGCTGATATATATCAAAGTGTTATCCATTAGATCTATGAATGGTGGACATGAAGGAAGATCCTATTCAATCTTTGTTGCCAAGATGTCAGTTGAAATCCGGGTTTCTTTGGAGTTCTTTCAGTGCTGGATGGAAATTTCCTTTTTGTTGTAAGATATTGAATAAATACAGGAGATAGATAAGATTTTCAAGGTTGATTATAAGAGACATTCCTCTCTTTGCTTCTGAAAACACCTCCAATTCTTTGTCACATTGGCTACAGATAGTTAGGGAAATAGAGGAGGTAGAAAGGTATTTTGTAGACATCATCATGGGAGAGGAATTTGGTGACATATATGTTGTGGTCTAATGTGCCTTTTTGTGCAAGGTGAAAGCCCACCTTAGCCTTTATGCTATCCGATGGGCAGGGAATGAGACATTAACAATACTCAATACACAACAACACTGTGCCATATGAGCTCCCACACATGTTCTATCAACCCAGGACTTCAAAACATAATGATTATTTAAAAAAAAAATCCCAGACTGGATAAGATTATCATGACTAACCCAGTGGTAGATGATGACAAATGAATATGTTACTATTTGGGAGTTGCTGTTTGAGAATGTGACATGTGAAGATCTTATGCCTAATGCCAAAGTTAGAAGAGAGATTTGAAATCAGTCTCTTTACTTGCCTTCAAATGAGGCTTCAGACAATTTACTTATCTCTGCCCCACACATTCTGTGAGGCTGGATTTCAAGAAAAAGATAACAAATGGAATGTTCAGAGTAAAAGAGACTGCTCAGCTGGGGAAACGAATGAATCAAATATTGGATGGGTTGGTTTAGAAACAAAAGGATGAAAAAGTCCTTTACGTGATGATAGCTCAAGATATTATAGTTTTCTCCCATGGAGTTTACAGTCCCTTCAAATTTGTCTGTAACACATAGTAGATTAGAAAAACTCTGGGGTGAAAACAAGCGATTTCTTTATAATAACCAAGAATGTTAGAACAAAGTGTGAGTGTAGTGAAGAGAGTATGTACAGGAAATGACAATTGTAAAAGAAAGCTACAACTAGAAGACTAATGTAATGTAATGATTTTTTTTTTTCCTGGTGCTCTTTTAGGGAAACAGGGAAATAAATATCACTAAATAACTCACTGGGATTTGGATTTTTTGTGTGTGTGTGGTAACATCAGGATTTTTATTATAAAACAAATTGAGTATATATCCTAAGGCCAACATTAAATGAAATTCTTGGGACTTGTTCCTTCCAAAATCTACACAAAGATTTCCTCAAGATCTTAGTATGCTTCTAACAAGATGGCAGGAATAGGCAGAATGTACTCTAAGACAACACACAACCCAGCTTCAAATGAAAACGTTAATACTAATAAAATGTGAACACACCATTCTAGTGAACTAAAATTTGATGTGAATCAGTAAGGCTCTTGCAATGAAAGGCTTGGTGGTTAGGTGATGGTGGCACGTGCTGGGTCCAGGACCGAGAGTCCATGTTTTTACTGAGGAACTGAAATTCAAAATGCCAAGTATTAGAGGGAAATGCAAGGCAAAGTCTAAAATGACCAAATCATGCAGACACTTAACTGACTTTATGAAAAAGATAACACTAAATAAACAAGTCTTAAATTACTAGAGTCGATGCTGTAATGATAAAACTTCCACCATTTTGATACATCCATACAAACACAGGATGGCCACATTTGCAAAGTGTGTTTCTTCATGAATCTTGCTATAATCTGTTTATGCAACTTGAGCCTGGGGGATAGTTATGTACTATTTATTTATTTATTATTAGGTAGGCTCCATGCCCAACGTGGGGCTTGAACTCACAACCATGAGATTTAAAACTTGCATGCTCTACTGACCAAGCCAGCCAGGCTCCCCAAATAATGTACAGTTTACAATGACAGATATTTCACTCGTTTGTTCTTTGGCTTCTAGAAGACTCATCAATAATTCAAGAACATGACACATTGTGCATAATTGTTTCTTTCCCTTTTGCAAAATAAATCACTGATATTTTAATCACTAAAAGTCATTCACATTTATATCAGCATAGGACACATAAACCAAGAAATGTTCTTGTTGAGATAATGACAAATGGAAGGAAGATAAAAATCTTATAAACGTTACAATCTCATTACTATGAAATGTCTACTTTGCAAGAAAGGCCAATGATCCTTAATCAAAAACACAGTGAACAACTAAGTGTTTTAATTTGTGTTAAGGTAAAAAAAAAAAAAACTTCAAAGGGATATTTTATTGTGTGAAACTTAAAATATATGAAATTTAATATATAACAAACTATAATATGACTTAACCCTAGATCAACCACTTGCTAGCTGGATTACCTTGAGAAAGTTGTTAAATCTCTATTATCCACAGTTTTCTCATAAGTAAGATTGTAAATTAACACCCATACTGATTTTTCTCACTGAGTAGTAATGAAAATAAAAGGATATAGTGTATAAGTGAATGTATTTTACAAATCAGATAAAGCTAAGATATATTCTACCCCATGAAGTACCAGCGGAAAAACAGCTAAGAAAAAAAATGTTATTTAAAAATTACTTGACATCCATTTTTAGAGAACTTGCTTTCAAAAGCATCGATTGCTATGCCAAAAACGTTCAGGTTGCATTTTGTCCTACGTCTAATTTAGACCCTGTCACAAAAGCATAAAAAAGTATAAAAGACAATGTCACCTTCCTACTCCACCATAGCATGTATATAACATCCTTTCATATATAATTAGATTAAAGGGATTTAATCTTAACTGCATGAAAGAAAATTGGAAATAGGTAATTGCAGTAACTGTAATTATCGTAACTTGAAAATATTACTTTCCAGAATAAACTTTTACTTCTGGAAGACTTTTCAAATCTGGTCAATATATTGAAAAGAAAATCAATGAATATATTGAACAGTGTGAAACCTGTTCTGGCTGGTTTTTCTGATTTTTTTTTTTTTTTTTTTTTACAGGGGGTTGGGGTGTTATTGTTTTATAAGATTCTTTGTTTCCTGGGTACTCTTCTTGTCTGACACTCCAACAGGGATTCGCCATTCAATTCCCTTCGTCAACAAAGACCTAAGCAAATTATGAGCTACACTTTAAGTACAGGTCACTTCTAATGGTGCTGAAAGGCTGAGCAGCAAAACTCACAAGGTGACTTGCCAAAAGACTAGATGGTCTGAAATAGAATCAATAATGTACAGTTAAAACCATATCCCTGAAATCGGATATGTTGACTTCAAAGAAAGGTTGACTCTTAAAGCTTTGTGACTTTTGGCAAGTAGTGAACTCACTAATGTTTGGTCTTCTTATTCTTAAAGCAGAGATAATAATAGTGCCTATCGCAAACAGTTGTGAGGGCTAAATAAAAGAATCCAAGGAAAGTTCTTAGAAAAACATCTGACACACAAAACATTCAGCAAGTGTTAAATAGCATATGTAAAGAAATATAGACAAAATAGATTTCTTTTTTTTAACAAAATCCTTGACTAGAAATATTAGGCACAGATTAATCAACTTGAGAACTTTTTAACAATCGAAATGCCAAATCAGTGAACTAATTTTACTCTAATATTATGCCTTTTCATTACATATACATATACATACATGTATGTGTATATACACACATGCACACACACATATTACTATATAAGACATGGACATACACCACACGCACATGCAAATTTATCTTAATGGCAGGAAGGCTGTAGCAATGAAGAAATTAAAAACACAGATTGTAGGACCTGTGCTTTTCTCCAATGAAGCCATTTAATTTTCCAATGCTTCTGTAAGTTTAAATAATTTTGATTTGTGGCTATTGAGAAAAATTGTCCACTTATTTAGATGTAGTGCAATGGCAAAAGAAAATGATTGAAAGTGAAAGAGTCACACATATTGTACAATATGCTATATCCTGCTAATCCAGTTGGAGATGAATAAAAATGCTTCTCAGGTCAGCTG